AACTCTAAACCCTAAACCCTAAGGTGGTTTCGTGTGGAGGCCTCTTCTTGCAGAGTACTTCAACGCTGAAGTGGGAGTTTCAGAAAATAAGGGGTACCTTATTTTGGGGGTCCTTATAATAAGGATCCTACTATTTAGGGTACTATATTAGGGTCCCCTATTTTCGGAAACCAAGTAAGGACGTCTTCAAAGCCAAAATCCCCACAAACTAGAGCAAGTGGAGGCCGGGCAGTGGGGATTTCAACATGTAAAAATTCATGCAGCGCCCAAGAAGACAGTGCATTGATGATCCTGAGGTTTCATACTCCAGGAGCCTGAAGTCAAAACCCTACAAGCCCTCCCTAAACCCTGGACCCTAAACTCTAAACCCTAAACCCTAAAAGCCCACCCAAAACCCTAAACTCTAAACCCTAAACCCCGCAGGCCCTAAACTCCTGGCCCGCGCTCTTTAATTACAGCTTTTGTCGGCCTCAGGGGCCGAGACACGTCCGCTTCCCAGCCTCCCTGAAGTTTAGGGTTTTAGGGTTTAGGGTTTAAGGCTTTTGGGGTTTAGGGCTTAGGGCTTACGGTTTAGCTCAGGGCTTAAGGTTTAGAGTTTACGGCTTAAGGCTTTTAGGGTTTAGGGCTTAGGGCTTAGGGTCTTAGGCTTAGGGTTTAAGGCTTAGGGTTTAAGGTTTAGGGTTTTGTGTTGAGCCCCTTTTTATCCCAGCCCTTGCTTCATGGACTACGACAACGCCGCGACGGCCGGAGGTTGGGTAGACTAATAACCCGAAGGGTCCATGTATTCATATAGCATATACACGGGCCCTAAAGTACCTATATAGGGACTACATTAAGGTCAATGTATATACTATTTGGGTACATGGACCCTTAGGGTAAGGCCATTTCACCCTCTCAGCACCGAAAGACACTCGACTCGACTCGACTTGCTCACTCAGGCCTGCCCTAAGCCCGGATCTCCGTCCCTTCGACTCGGTGCAAAAGCCATTCCTCCATGGATGTGGGTTTAGGGTTTAGGGTTTAGGGCGATAGGGTTTAGGGTTTAGGATTTAGGGTTTAGGGTTCAGGGTACTCCCTCCACCGTTGCTGCAGTCGCTCCAACACCTGTTCTCCCCGGGCAGGTTGACCGACCCATGTCGCCACCCCTCCGGTTCGCCAAGCATCAAACAGCTCCTCCAGCGACATCCGAGAAATGCGAGCCACGCGATCCTCAGCCTCCATTTGTGCCACCCTAGCCCCTTCCAGCTTTAGGGCTTAGGGTTTATAAGCCATGATTGCAGGAGCCTCGGTTACAAGGCCAAGCTGTGGCGCAATCCTGTGAATAACCCTGGCCGTCCTAGTGGCGACCAGGCTTTCCCAGCCTCATAGACCCTGGCCTCAACCCGAATTGACCCCGGACGCCCTACGTAAATTCCACACTACAACGTTGAGCCCCATATAGGGTCTAAGCTCGATAATCCCCTAACCCCCCAAATACCTACTATATAGGGCCCCAGGGTCTCTAGTACCCTATATAGCAGGTACCCGGGGGGGTTAGGGATCCCTAGAAGAGCCCTCACATGTCTCCAGCGGTCCCCTACCACTTGTTCCAGCCGCCCGCGGATATCGCGGATGCACCCGGAAGGCGCATCGAGGAGGTCCTGGCGAGGCAGCCGTTCAAGGAAGTTCAGGCCATGTTTTTCGGACACTGCAAGAAATACACACCAGATAAGCATCCATCTGTATTCTTGTGTGTGTGTATGCCAGTAATCATGTCTGTCTGTATGTGCCATCCCATTGGCCATTTTACTGTGCAGAATGTGAGGTCTTGCATTGTGACAAGTTGCAGTTGCAGGCGGGACTGTGCCGGCTGTCTGCTGAGATTCTTTGACACGGCTCAGACCCCGGCCCGCAACCCGCATCCCAGAATCCTTTTTAAGATTCCCTAAACCCTATAAACCCTAAACCCACCCTAAACCCCAAACCCTAAACCCTCAACCCAAAGCCCTCAATAAAACACTTTCAAAGCCTCAAAGGGACGGGGGAGGGGGTCCGGCGAGCTGAGGCAATTCCGGAGGTGGTAGGGCCGCTCGATGACGCTTTCAGCCGCCTTTTGAAGGGTGGCCTGCTAGTGGAGTCTAGGGGTTTTGGGGTGCGGGGGGAGGTTGGGTTTTGGGCTTTGGGGTTCGGGCTGCGGGGTTTGAGGTGAAGGCTTTGTGGCTTTAGGGTTCAGGGCTTAGGAGCTTAGGACTTTAGGGTTTCAGGATTCTAGGTACATAGTTTAGGACGGATGTTCTTGAGACAGCTTGTGCAGAGCCCTTGCTTTGTGAGGTCTGGCGGGGAGGCCGTTGCGTATGGATCAAGATAACTTAGGGGCCGTCTTCTACTCGTACCAGGAGAATGTACGCACGATTCTGGGTCTCAGGAGCCTGCAAAGATCGAGAGCGGTGCTTGCCGCGCAGCTGAGTCTGCAAAACGAGCTAGCCATTGGAGCTCCAATTCTTCAGAAGCTCCCGGTGAGTGCAGGAGAGTTCTCGGGCTACCATTCTCGCATGTGTGCTGAGTGCACAAGCCGCGTGCTTCAAAGTTTCGTGCTTGGCGGATGTTTGAACCCTACGTTGCGACCCGCATATCCCGCAAAACCGCAGGTTTCGACCCTTCATCAGGTACCTTTCTACAAGCCCTAAACACGGAAAGACCACACCCAGGGTTTCGCGGCTTCGCAACTCAGGACCAGTCGTGGTTCCTGGTAGCCCATGAATACGGTAAGAGTATCAAACTCCACGTTTATGTCCTAGCATATGCGCACAAACACAGACGCGAAGATACAAGAAGTCTGTGGGCAGACATTTCACCACAACAGATTGAAAGTGGCGATGACTGTTGCACCGACCGGACTAGCCCGAGCATCCCACATCTCCCTCCCCGGCAGCAACAGGTCTTGGGTCGAATATACGGGCCTTAATATTTACCTATACTATTTTTTTGGGGGGTTCCTTGTTGTAGTTATAATTATAGTATATTATAGCCCAAAACCCTATTCTAATGATTACTTATAAGGCCCCTATATTACACCCTAAACCCTAAACCCCTATAGCCTAAACCTATACTCTTTGGGGGATTTCTTGTTATAACTTATGATCCTCACTTCTGGTTGCTGGGACTTCTAGACTCGGCCTGGTTCCTGGTGATTCGCTTCAGGCGAAGATCCTGCCCAGAAAAGGCTGAGAATTCGTTAGGAAGCTTTTTTTTGAGGAATTAGAGGGGGGGATTATGGGGGTGATTATTGGGGGGGGGGGGGGGGGGG